ATGCAAAGGTGAGGACCAAGAATCATTACAGCCTGAAGCATTTTTTAAATCTTCAATACATAAAATGAATTTAAAAATCTTTGGAGCCTTATCTAGAAGTCATACCAGTCTGCATTATGCTGGATATGTCTATTATGAAGGAAATGTTATGTTATGTATCTATATAGGATGAATATGAAAACATCAATAGGTTCATCAAAGTTAAAGTAGTCCCTTTAACTGAAAGACGCTATATTATATCGATTCGAATACCAAGTATCGCTCAATTCAAAAATATAACTATTATTCTATTAACGGAACCTTCCACGAGAAAACACTAATTAGCATTAATCTTCCTCGCACTTCGTTGTATTTCTAAAGTTTATTTATGCTTTACTCCAGTCCTTCACTTGCACTTGTCCAAGTAAGTGTCTACTTCCTGCTGCCCGAGCGATAAATTTTACATCAAAAGTTCCTCGGATTGCGCTACAGATGTAGGTGAAATCTAGAGCACCTGTAGTGTTCTCTCTCTTTCTCTCTCTAAGAGTTCATCCGTTAAAAAGTTCACAATGAAAATGATAGGATCGCTTGCGGGGTGCACACAGACAGCAACATCTCAATTCACTGCTCTATCTTTTTTTGCGTACACATTTAAGATTTCCGCGTATGCACGCGACGTACGCCAATACACCTTGCGCAAGCGCCAGCTCTGCAATTGCGGTCATTGCGACAATCAATCCACTTTTAGCGAATTCGCATTTTTTTAAAATGAATGACAATAAGTTCTTCGATTCTATCGCATCATACATCATTTGATAATTCGCCGTACTTGATAGGTGCGCCTTTCAGAGGGAATGTAATTGAGTTTTACGATTTTACAATATGAACCGAAGATACGTGGGAATTTCTCAGGAAACTGTGCTAAAAGTGGGTATTTGGGACATCTTGGCTATTTTTAGGAAAAAAAAACAGGATCTTAAATGCAATACTAACCTTAAAGGTTTCCACGATTTGCAAATCCATATGTTCACAAAATGCTCCGATTATGTGTAGATTCACAGTAACCAATGTCCTCCTTTAGTGTACCTTATTAAGCTATAACATACGAATCTAAGTAAGCAGCAATGAGTTAAGCGGAGCATGTTTCTTAAGAGTATCAAGAAAGCCATCCATTGGTATCAATGAGTTTTATCAGACGGTAAGAGTAACAACTTGTATCTGATATCCAAGTGAATCTTCAAAGCCAAAATTGCGCGAGAACGATACGGAAAAAGCAAAAGGCAAAAGGGGACGATGTGGATAGCTCTTATCGAAGTCATTTTTTTCTGTTCATTTCTAGGACAAATTTTGAATAAAGAAAGTCTTAATTTGGTCTTTGATTCATTCCCCCTTTAATATGTAGTCCAGATATCTGCCAAAATTATGAAGGTTGAGGTTGTCCAGTATGTCATACAGCTCAGCTAATCTTTCGAGGATACTTGCTCCATTGATTTGTGTGCAACTGCAGAACGATTTGAGCTAATGGAAATTTACAATAGATTTTGGGAGCATTTTCGCGCTCAAATGAAGCGCAGTAGACGCCATTTTCAATAATTAACTGAACCAAACATACACAGCATATGACAAATCTAGTGCGCATATTATTTTGCAATAATCTTTGCAAAAGTTCTTAAAATAGCGGAAACTGTGATTTTTTTACACCTGTCATTTATTGCTTGCACTTTTGATGTTAGGTCATAAGAGCTGAATTGAACATTGTTACTAGGTCAAGTTCACAACTCTGGCGGACATTTTTTGCACGATTGTTCCCTTCATTTGCTGTAATTTATATTGATGTAAAACTATTTCAACTTTCTTGAACCTTCTTTTTAGTGAATTCTAGTGTCTGGTGAAAATTTTACAATTGTTTTTGAGCTCAAACGTGTCCATTTACTATGAGATTTCGAGTTATAATCTTGTGAATCTTGTAACTCAAAGAACACTTCTTACTCCCTAACTTATCAAACTTTTATGGGTCTATCATTTATAATATCAGGTCAAAGTTTTGAATAATGGTTGGTTCAAAAAGTTTCACCATTTATTTCGAACCCTCATTATTTTGCCTGTTAAATGTATTGTAAATCGGTTTTCTGTAATTCTTTGAGAGTCATCTTCGCTACCGCTATGAAAAATAGCCTAGGTTTACTACTTAACATCACGAATCTTTGGTAAACAACTACAATTTGATGATTTTCTTCTACGACATGCTACCATGCTTTGATGTGGTAACTCTCTAGAGGTAGAACCTGTGTCCCGTCTTTTATATTCAACACGTTAAGCGCTGGTACAGTTTTTTGAATGTAGAGATACGGAATGCGAGCTAGTGCAGTGCTGCCGCTGGGCTAAGAGAAACCTTCTTTGGAACTGCTATTGACACAACAGTGGCCGTTTGCAAACATGTCAATCAACGGCGAATTTGACCTTAGCTGACCGAAAACAAAAAAAATGGTTTCTTGTTGATTTTTTGACAGCACTTTCAATGGAATCTTTGACAAAAAAAAACTAGAAAAAATTGGAAATTCACGAACAGTCTGCGACCTTTAATTGCATCTAACCCTTTCTACATACTATTGGTTCGATAACAGTGTTTCAATTACCGCAATTTCCTATAAAGCATCCTAAAATTGGAATTTTGAATTCTTCTTATCGTTGCTGCCTGAATCCAAAAAGGAACTTTGGCACTCTTTCGTTAGTTTAAGGTTGCTAGTTAAGTTGCTCACATTTTGCTCTTGGTCAAATCGGAAGAATT